TGTATACAGCTATAAATTCAGAAAAGGTTGTCGGCCCAAACAACAGGCTTGTACGACTCGACAATATCTTTTCGAAATATTTTTATTTTCAATGGATTTTTCTCAGCGCGCTCACATGCGGGCAACAGTAACATAAACAAGAAGCATTGTTTTCTCATCAAGAGATAAGTCCTTGTGTAAGTGGCGTCCGATTTGCTGTTCATGAGGTAAAAATAATCTGCCGTAGATGCGGCTAACAATAACATAAACATGATGCATTGTTTTCTCATCAAGATATAACTCCTTGTGTAACTACCGTAGATGTGGCTAACAATAACGTAAACATTTGGCATTGTTTTCTCATCAAGATATAACTCCTTGTGTAACTGCCGTAGAAGCGGCTAACAATAACATAAAAATGAGTTATTGTTTTCTCATCAAGGTATAACTCTTGTGTAACTGGTTTCCAGTTTGTTTTTAATGAGATACCACCCTCTGTAAAGGCAAGTTTATTGGTTTCCGGGAGGGAATTCATCGTTTCCCGAAGGAAAAAGCTAGTTCCAAAGATGGAATTAGGTGATTCTGATAACAGGTCATTGGTTGCCACGAGCGGTACATGCAGAATTTCAGGCTGTTTGGTTGCAGAAATCACTTGGCCACCATGTTCGACAAAATCTTGGCGACTCACTCAGCGATATTTTCGAAGTCCAAACTTTGTTTGAACCTTCAACACCCCTGAAAAACACTTTACGAGAAAACACTGGACATAATACCTGAATGCTTTGCCTAATAATACGCAGAAAATAACAAGAAAACATGGAAACGAAACGAAATGAGAATCTGTAGTTTGCGAAATGAAAATCTGTAGTTTGCGAAATCACAGTCTGTAGTTTGCGAAATGACAATTTACTTTCTCGTTGCCTCTACTCGGATATTCTAAACAGAAAATTCCCCTCAAAAAAGCTGTTTCACCCAGAAAATTCACACGTATAAAGTTTAACTTAAGCTCAGGCGCCCAAGTTAAGCTCTGTTGGTCGGGGTTATGAACTGGATCGGTGACCAACCGCGAATATCGTCTTCAAAGTGCATACGTTGTTCTTTCTTTTCTTCTTCTTCTTTTTTGCGTATTATGTGGTGTTATTGTAAACAGTGTATTGGAGAGCAGATTTAGCTTTATTTCTGCGTCTGGATTTAGAAAAAGAAAAAAACAAAGAAAAAATATGGCTCGGTGCAGTTCCCCCGAAAATTATTATTCTTCAGGCCGTAATACAGAGCTGGAACTTTGCAGACTTTGATCTATATATCAGCAGGGAAACCGGCAAACTAAGAAATCTGGGTTTTTGACTGTGTAAAACGATCATAATGCCTCTGATTCCAATCTCCTGTTCCTCTTTCTCTTGTTGTCGGCCTTGCCTTCGCTGTTCCTTCTGCTCCGCGGTTTCTTGTTGACGTCTTCTCTTGCGTTGTTCACGCTGAATTTGAAGTCAGCATTCTCCAGAGGATTTTCATTTCGCAAACTACAGATTCTCATTTCGCAAACTACAGATTTTCATTTCGCAAACTACAGATTTTCATTTCGTTTTGTTTTGTTTTGCTCCATTTCGTTTCACAAACTACAGTAAGCTCCTTTTGTCGACAAGAAGTAGAGGATTCATCATTTGCTGTAGGGAACACGAGGAGAAATGCATCGTTGCGAAACGTTTCACAGTCGATAGTTTTACGGAAAGAGATCGCACTTTTACGGAAAGTGGTCGGTGAATCCGCTTGTTACACTAGTATTAATGTATTTGACACAAAAAGACGTACTACCAGATTCAAAGTAAGAAAAGCTCTAAACAATAAGTTTGTTTGTGTTTTTATAACCTGTAAAGTCTATCGAAATTGGATGCTTATCAAATTTACTACCGGCATTATCGTACGCCAAGAAAATCGATCGTGATCCGAAGGTCTCCGAAAGCCCTCGTAACTTTGGCCACTTTTTGTAGTGAAAGGGTTAAGTTTATTTACCAGTTCATTCACTCAGACTACCTTTCATACATTTTTTCCCATAGTTTAAGTTTTTCCAGCATCCATGTGTATATCTCACTGTAGTCCAGGGCTGCAAGGAAATTGCTGTTGAACTTTAAGAAAGATGGATATCCTGCTCTTCTAGGAGCCATGTTGAAGGCACCCTGGTTTAAAGATCTGCAAAAATTTGCTGCACCGTTTCATTAGCATCTTTGAGGCATCTGGTGGCCTGTTTCTCCAACACTGCAGTCAGAATCTAGACTTGTTAAAATAAGCTCAATATAGGTGATGGATCTAGCAACTCTTTGAGCAGACTTTTCATTCAGGTTTGAAGGTAATAGCCACCATTTTGCCGGGGGTGCAAAACTACTGGGGCGAGCGCGCGGTCAGGCATAAATTGCAAATGGCGACACAGCTGAATAATCTGTTGTTATGCCAAAACACGCTCATTGTGCGGTAGGATTTTGCGATAATGACAAAAGATATCCTGATCTCGCTTATGTTAGATCCTATGTGAATAATTTAACGTTTCACAAGTGGCCTGTTGATCCAAAACTCGCCGAAATATGGTGAAAGCGATTGATCTTTTAAGTTCAATGTCCTTGATTGTATTAATCTCAAATACAATAATTGCAAATGAGATCTGCAGAGTTTGTAATGTTTTCATGGTTACTACATGCATGGACTGCTTTTTTACAAACTGTACATACATGTTCTCCATTTACAGGGATGCTCTTCATTGAACAAACAGGGCAAACATGATTCACATCAGTGGATGTAACCATTTCTTCTGATTCTTGAGCAAAGTTGAACTCAAGAACATCATTACTGTCAATTGCATTTGCTGCATCTGCCAGGCAGCTCTGGCAAACCCAACAATCTAGTGCATCTGCAGTACTCATAGTGAGATCAGCACATGGCAAATGACTTGTAAAACAATGTAATATTGTTCACAACATTAAGACAAAATTCCATGTCAAGTTCAACTCGCTCATAGTAAGGGGGGCCACCCTGTGTCCAAACAATGAAAAACCCATGACATACCACAAACCCACATTTGTGCTTGCATTTGGGTATAATATTTGTGGGAACGTTTCAAGCGGGGTTTTCCATGGAAATCTTCAAGGAAGTCGACTTGGTCAAATGTGTCCTTGACATGAATATTCTCATTTCCTACAGTGTAAGGGCACTTGGCCTCAACAATTGAAAGACCGCAACACTTGCACAAAAACAAGCCATCTGGTGAAGCAGCAAGGCATGGGTAGTCGGGTTTGATGAACAGTCTGTATTGCTTGAAACCCTGTAGACTACCATCATGTTGGGAAGCAATATCTGACATAAAAGCTTTTATGGCATCCTTTTCATGGGCAGTTCCCCACTTTATCTGTGGTAGGTGAGAAACATCAGCACTTTTGCTTAACAGGCTTGATATAAGTGAACTGTACACTGGTTTTCTAACATTTTGACCTTTTCTGTTGAGAATAGCTTGTGCCTTTGTGTGGTATGTATGAAAGTTTGATGCAGTTACTCTGCCAATCCTTTGCTGGTGCCACAAGTCATTAGTACTCTGGCCACGAGTCTCAATTTCCACCCTTTTCACTTGACCTGCTGTCATTTGACACTCTTTTAGAAAGAGTGGTGCTGTGTACTCTAGAGGTTTCCCTTTCATTTCTTCAGATGACATGAAACTAAGAGCTTTCTGAGGGAGGAGTTCAGGGAGACCGTCATCTTTTGTGTGCTCTATGGAGTAAATCACACAAGCTGATGGAATGTTTTGAATAATGTCATTGATCAGGGATGATACCCTCTCATTGGTTAGCTGCCTATCCTGTGGTTTCCTTGGGTCAGACTGGTTCTTTAAATTTAAATTGTCCCTATCATCCCTGGCACTGTCCTCTTGTTTTTTTTTTGTCTTTACGAAAGACAAGGTTTTTAATCTGATTTGGCTCTACATCCTTTTTAGTTCCTTTATTCCATCCCTGTGGAACACTTGTGCATGCGGGAGAGATTTATGTTTTCTTTTATGCAAAGTTGACTTTGTACGTCAAAGCGATTACATGGTTGCAGACTTCAGCAGTACCAGCTGTGCATGTACACCATGAAGTGAAAATTCTACAGTCATTCTTCGTACCCTCTAAACATACCCAGACCTTGTGTGGGTCATCGCGAATTTTTTGTGAAGGTGACACAAAGCCTTTTAAAAACACGTGCTTGCTGTTAATTGGGCATTTTGTAAACAAGACTGTGTCCACAAAGCCAGTCATCCAGTACGAGTAAGCTTTCTGGTCTTTGTACTTTCCAACATATATTGAACATCAACAGCTTTTGTTCTCAAAACGTAACTAAACAATTTACCATCATCAACCTCTGGCTATTGCTTCACGTCATCAATCCAAGCATCATGCGGTATGGTGTTTGGATCAGTTTTTATTCCATTTGAGGTCAACCTCCGAGAATATTCTTCCTTTATCTGCTTATAAATTTGTTCTTGTGAAAACTTCAGTGGTGCTTTAAGTTCGTATGTACCAAACGCTCCCGCAACAAGCTCAGGCTTTTGGCCAGTTTGTTTGAGTCCTCTAAGCGACAGAAAATCCTTGAGCGACAAAACAGTCCAACCGAGGAAGTCCTCGTATTGAAGAACTTCCTCTGCTTTTCGAGGCATCAAAAATCACGTTAACACCAAATTTAAGAAGTACTTTCGAGAAACTTTCCAGTATGATTTTCCATCGCATGAGATACCGCACGCACAAGTCAACCATTTTCAATTTATGCTTGGCCGCGTGCTCGCCCCAGTAGTTTTGTACCCCCGCCAAAATGGCGGCGTTAACCTTGAAAGGGTCTATACTTTGAGCATAGCTTTTAGAAGCTTGTTTAGTTGCTCCAGTTTTAAATCCAAAGGCCTTCTTTTCCTTACCCTTTTTCCCATGCGAGTTACAAAATCTGTTAGAAATAAGCTGGTCTGCTTTCAATTTAGTGAGCAGTGCATTTACTTTTACAAGAAGTAAAAGGGTGGTTTATGCATGTTTAATGCAACCATAGCATTTACAGATAAGAAGGGCAACTTTATAAAGTCTCATGAGACGTTCGCCATCGCCTTCTTTTATGGCATCATTTATATCTAGCATAATGAGGCCGAAGCACAACTTTGCATGGTTGTAGTTATATTTGAAACCTTTGGGTTTTTCAGTGCTTTCAGTAGGTAGCGGTAGGTCTGGTGGACTGTACTGTGGATGTTTTGTCTTCTCATGTCTGCAATAAAATTAGAAAGCAGGACTTTGTAAGTATTTTTTGAGTATCTTTTGATAGTACTTACCTGAAATACATGTATGTGCTATAATTTAATTGCCTTGAGAAAAGGCTTTTTAACGCCTTTTCTTGTATCCCTTTTGTATACAAGACCACAGCCAGCACGGCATCTGAAGTAACCTTCACTGTCCCTGTCATCATCTGGTCGAGAGTCTAGAATAAGAAGATCAGGGTGGCTATCTCGTTCATGTCTGAAGGAGGAAGTACATCAACACAAAAATTGTTGAAGGGGGCTAGGATTGAATACCCAATTGACTTTGGTTAAATAGCTCGATTCTACCCTGAAATTGTCTTGTGCACATGTCTTTGCATCAAGGTTATTGCAATAATTCAAGATGAGACAGGGTTCTTCTTTGTTACCATTGTCCGTAGACAGTAAACTGTAGGCCATCAGTGGTCTGAAAGACTTTTGGGGGAGCTTTTCACTTTTACTGGATTAAAAGTCACTTCAAGCGTTGGTCATTTGAACCTTGAGGTTTTTCATTGTTTCTGCTATGTTACACAGAATAAATTGTTAAATCAGTTAAATTTATGACTACTGACCTTTCATCTCATATGCGATTATCTCTTGACAGCTATAATTTACTTATTTGTTTACATATAAGAGCAGACGTGTTGTTCCAGTAGCATAGGATTGGGGGAAGGTAATGACTTACGTTTAAGACTTGATTGCTACTGTTATCTTGCAAGATTTGAGGATCAAGAAAATAATGTAAGACATTAAAGATGCACAGAATTATTGCTGAAATGTTGTCACTTACCTCACCCTTCCAGAATGAAATGTAAACGTTTGCCCACAATTTCTGCAGGGGTAGCCTTCTGTGGATGTTAGCCTATGAATTTGGCTTGTCAGGTCTGAAACCTCCTCAGTGTTAAAAACAGATTCTTCTGAATATTTCCTACATCTTTTATGTAGAAAGGATCGTTTGTCTATGTCACTCTCCCAGCATCCAGGTACTTGAAAATTACTTGGCTTATCTAAAAGTAAATTTGTACATAAAATAATTTCAGTTCCAGGGTCCATGAGTCACTGTTGTATTAGACTCAATGAGAGGGGTTAAAAATTTTACATCAAAAACATTTGGAGAATCATGTTTTTTCACAAACTTTTCAGTCTACCCTTATACCACTGCCATGCCTCCTTGTCATGATAAATAATTGACAGTCCAACAATGGAAGAAGGAGCATTAAAACACCCAAGTTACATATTTGTGTACATACTTCTTTGT